TCTGTGTGTGTGTGTGTGTGTGTCTGTGTGTGTGTGTCTGTGCGTGTGTGTGTGTGTGTGTCTGTGTGTGTGTGTGTGTGTGTCTGTGTGTGTGTGTGTGTGTGTGTGTGTGTGTCCAGGTGAAGTGAGAGATGTGTCTAAATATATCTGCGCCCAAAGCCGTTCAGTCTCAGCCAATTACAGATTAATTAGCTGAGACAGATTAATGCAGTGCCAAGAAAACTGGCTAACCAAGCTAACTGGCTAACAAAGCTAACTGGCTACCTAAGATAACTGGCTAACCAAGCTAACTGGCTAACAAAGCTAACTGGCTAACAAAGCTAACTGGCTACCTAAGCTAACTGGCTACCTAAGCTAACTGGCTAACCAAGCTAACTGGCTACCTAAGCTAACTGGCTACCTAGGATAACTAGTTACCTAAGCTAACTGGCTACATCCATCTACATTGTAGTCAGTTTAAATGAACAAACCCTAACCCTAACCCTAACCCTTAACCATCTTAATCAGACCACCTTAACCCTAACCTTAACCATCTTACTCAGACCACCTTAACCCTAACCTTAACTATCTTACTCAGACCACCTTAACCCTAACCTTAACCATCTTACTCAGACCACCTTAACCCTAACCTTAACTATCTTACTCAGACCACCTTAACCCTAACCTTAACCATCTTACTCAGACCACCTTAACCCTCACCTTAACCATCTCACTCAGACCACCCTAACCCTAACCCTTAACCATCTTACTCAGACCACCTTAAGCCTTGGTTGTGTGTGGGCTGCGCTTAAGAGGGAAAGGGGAAAAAAAGACATAAATTAGACTTATACCAGATGTCAAATAAAGTGTATCAATAGTACATTATTAAATTCAAGAATACCATGAAATGGACGTGTGATGGGAACGGCATAAAACGCCAAAATAGTATCCATTCTGTTTCAGAGAACCATCAAGGCACAGAACAGAATGAAGTGGTAGTGACATTTACCTTTGTCATCTCTAACTAGAGTATGATGGTGAATATTATACAGAGATCATTTAATTGTGAATACTGTTGGTGCATTGACCAATAATACAGTTTAATTTCGTAGTTGATTTAAAGAATTATGATCATATTAAGGAATATTTGGGACCAGTTACTTTTCCATAAATGTCAGTGTCCATTGGCATTTCAGAGACGTGCGAGATGATGAGATATGTTCGGTAATTGAATTGAAGATACAAATATTTACTACAATTAGAATTGGTAAAAAGGAGGTGGGTAGCATTGTTTGTTGAATGAATTTAAAATGTATTAAGAAGTAAGAAGTAAAATCAACCACATTGAGGTGTCCTTAGAATTTTCGTACTGTAGAAATTGAGTTCATATAGAAAAAAAGAGGAATGGGTAGCGTGGGGTACTGATCGCCTGGAGATCATGTCTGGATACTTTTTAAACCAAAATATTGACCATCTTTTATAAGAGAAACAAACTCCAGTTTGTGTGTGGTGATCTTTAATTTTAAGTCTCTTGATCCACAACCCCAATTGAAAATACAAAAACAACTGACTTCCTTACAGAGAATTATATTTACAATTTCGTCCATCTCAGCACAAAAACCAACTAGAATAACAACAATCTCTCCTCCATTGTTTATTATAATGGTGGCACCATCAGTTGCGGAAATGAAATAACTGCTGGGTTACTCTTTAAACGACATAAGTGTTCATCGTCCCATCCGGCAGCATCTTTAAAGCACTTTTTTGAAAAGAAAGGATAACTAAAAAGTGGCTACAATATAAATTTACATCAACTGCGGACACCAATGCAAATGGCAGCATTTAGCTGATGTATGTTGCTCAGGACTGGTGTGTGGTCCAAACTCAACAGACCCAGTCCGAGCATATGATGCCTTTATTAATACCCTGTTAAATTATATGAAAACACGGTCCATTAGAAAATTGTAATGATAGCAAACTACTAGAGAAGTAAAACCCGTGGATTACTTGAGGTAAGATTATATGCATGTCTTAGAAATATATTGGCTCTATAGAAAATTTATAAAAGCTGAACCTAAGATGATGAATCAGAGATTAAAACATACTATAAACAAGCTATTAAAATTATTAATGCAGCAAAAGTACATGTACTTGTGAACCTATTAGTTGCATCAGATAAATATGTACAAGGAGACATGGAATGGATTATTTCATATTATTAAAAAAAGACATGAAAATAAGGAAATCCAATATATTTTTTGGACAAGGACCAACAATAAAATTACAAAGGAAAGTATCTAAGTTATTTAAATCGTCTTGGTGTATGTTGGACCCACCGCTAAGAATGAAATTGCTACATAAAAAGTAAAAACTATTGTAGAATTAGTGAGCATCCTTTGCAAAATATAGCTTCAATCATTTTTCATTATTAACCCCTGGACTAGAGTATGAAAGAAGTGAAATAGAAATGCCTTCGTAAAATGATAATTCAACGAATTTGTTTTGACATATACATGGTATG